AAGGTTAGTTACCAGTAAATCTTCTATAAATATTTATATTTTATATATAAATTTAATAAGTACTGTATATATATTGCAGAAATTGTTTCAATCTATGAGAATAAACGTATATTCTATGATAATTTTCCTTATATTAAAGCTATGCATAGAATAGGTAGCAAAGACTATTAGAGAACTTACAAAGTAATTAAACTTGGTCACTATTCATCTGTTTCAAAATTTACTTAGAAAAACAATAATATTACATATCAGATTCCTGATAAATATGAGATTGAAACTAGTATAGCAGGGTTGTCTATAATATATAAGACCGAATATTAACAAGATGGTAATGTTAATTATATAATTAACTGGGTGAATCCTTATGGTAATACAGTATCAAGCAGTAGTACAATCTCTGCAACTACTGTTGGAAATAAATTTTTAATGGTAAATATAAATTAAATAAAAAAAATTTATACTTTAAATATTTTAACTAAAAATATTTTATAGAATATTTGTAATAAATGAAAAACTCAAATTTCTGGATTATCTTTATTTGGATTCGATATTGATTGTTTGCATAAAGCAAGAATAGAAGGTTCTACCAATCGCAAATGTCCTTATACGGAATTAAAATCTGATTCACAAAAGAACAAACGAATTGCATTAGCAGCAAAAGATTTAAACATTCAAACAGCAGAACTTTTTTATAATCATCAATTTGTTAATTCATTAGATACTAATATAGTAAAACTTGAATTAGCAAAGCTTAAAATTGCGGATAAAGATATAATTCTTGATTATGAGCTTAAAAATAAAAACAAGAAACAATATTATAACTCTCTTATTCAAATATGTGACAAAGCATTAATTTTTTGTAATAGATATCAAAAACTAGCAGCTATAGATTCAAATATAGTTTGGGAATATTTACTTGAACAACAACGTAATAATATTAATGATCAAATGAAACAACATTTACCAATAGTTTTATTTAACATTAACTGTAAAATGGAAAATGCAGTTTATAGATCAATTAAATCTTTATTAATAGTTTGGTACTAACTTTAACTATAGCAAATCCAGTTATTCTTCACTCTGGTGATAAAATTAATATAACAATTAGTGGAGATGGAC